TATATGGAAAAGGGTCTATTTATAGTAATCTGTCAGACACCACCTTAATCAAATGATACAAGTTAACAATGCTGATAATGAGATATGTCAATATCATCTTAATATGAGGCCCTGAAAAAAAATACCATATCACTTCTACGGTGTTCTTGCTAAAAAATGTAAAACCTGAATTTAATCATAAGGAAGCATGACACAATCGCAAACTGAGACACAGTCCAGAATCCCTGCTTCTTTGAAAAAATGTATTTAGAAGAAATGTTTTTTGTTACTGGTATATAGAAAAATAAATTGATCTCATCCAGCCACCTTGATAAATTCCCCTATTATTTCTAATAATTTGTCTGTTTATTCTTTTGGGTTTTCTATATTACCAAAAAATAATTAAGCTCCACTCAAAGCCCAGGATAGGAATATCCAAGTGGCTGAGCCCAGGTCATATGCCTGAACTGGTAAAGCAATTATCTGGCATTTTTAGTCTGCATAATGGGAGAAAGGCTTCCTCCCACCAAGACTCATAAAATGGAGAATTCTCCAAACATAAAAACAGAACAGGAAAAACAAATTTTACTAAAATCCAGAGTATAATGTAGGAAAACATTTTGCCAGAAATGGTCATGAGTGACAGAAATAACATAAATAGTAATACAGTATAAGAAATACTATAAAATAGCATAAAATACATAATAATGAGGCATACAGATAACAAAGGATCATTAAAATACAAAGGTCATAATTTAAAATAAAAGTAATAAGTAAAAGTAAATGTAAGAATGATACAATTTTAAAATGTGAACATCACACTTGGATCATATCATGGATCCTTCAGAGTAATGGGAATTTATTCCTCTTAACGCCTGCAATTCTAGAATAGAGTCAGTGAACTTTCATATAGTACATTAACAGTCAACTTTCAAAACCTTGCATGTTCTATAAATGTCTCATCATTTACGCTCAATTGACCCCAAGAGAGAAATCACCAGAGAGGAACAAAGAACGAAAATAGAGCTAGTAACTACTTTTCTGTGTCTCCTCTCCTCCCAGAGGGGCATTCTTTGGACAACCCCCTCCACCTTCAAGAAAAAAAGAACATGAAGAATGGGAAGTCAAACAGGCATGAAAAGATTATGATACACTTTAACATCTATATGCATTCATCTACAGTTCTTTTTCATTAATTTTTTGCTCACACATTAAAGTGGACCAGAGGTAATTCACACCTTTATAAAAATTAAAAATATTTGTGAAAGATCGATTTACTTCTATCTATTTACTCTAAATAAATTTCATATGGGAGACTGAGGACCGTTTCATAAAAGGGATGAACAGGGACCTGAAGGATGATTAAGAAAGAGAAAGAAAGAGGCAACATTTCAGGCTAAGGAATAACACAAACAGAACTGAGAACATGCTAGGTGTACATAACAAATTGAGAGTAAAAGGACTGGAACACAGACCTATTAACTCTGTGATGTAAAAAACCTTTAATAAACACATGGGAAACATGGAAGAGAAGCAGTTTGAGAAAACCAGATTAACTTAGTTATAGACAGATTAAAAATTGCTCATGAAACATTCAACTAATGTTATCAAGTAGGCAGTTGGAAATATGGGCTTAGGACGACACAGGAGATCTAGAGCTAGAAACCATGCAACATGTAGATCATGTTCACAGCCACAGAATACGCACTTGTTACTAGTGTTAATGTTGTCTCGGGCTACCAAACACTTAGATTAATAACTACTAATCAAGGTAGACTCAAATACAGTGATTAATAATTTTAAATTGCCTAAAGGCAATTCAATGAACTCTATAAATCAATGGACTCTATAAATCAACTCTATAACTCAGAATAGACTTTCTTCCAAATACTGAAATCTACATAGATACACATAAAAACTCCTGCAATTCAGGAGTCTTCAGAGATCAGAATACTGCAGGCACTTAAACTGAACTGTCAGGATGCAACACCTCTCCATGTGTGATCTTACTGCACCTGCCTGCAACACTGTTGAGCTTACAAGACTCAAGACCATAATTCTCCTTTTAGAGATGATGAAACAGGATGAAGAGAGAAAAAAACAACCTGCTCAAGTGGCAGTTAGTGGCATAATCCAGGTCCTGAATATGGGTCATCTGACTCCAAATCCAGTGTTATTACATCTTAGTGATCAGGTGAAGGAAGGGCTATGGCAAGAGGGTCTTGAATCCTTCTGTACACAAATCTATACCTCTAGACTGAAAACTATTTTTAAGTTATGAAATTGTGATTTATAATAATAAATATATATTTGGTCTTTGTCCCATTTCTGGCACAGAGCTCCCCAAACCCTTGGAATTTCCTAAGTAATGAGAGCAAGAGACATGTCTTTTGCTATGTTAATGAAGTGGTTTTTGGACCCACCCCCATCCCAATGAAGGATGGGGGCTGGCTGCCAGGAGAGCCAACCATATGATCAGAGTGTTGGAACTTTTGGTCCTACTCCTCCAATCTCCAGCAAAGGGAGAGGACCAGGAGGTTGAATCAATCACCAATGGCCAATGATTTAGTAAATCATGACTATGTAATGAGGCCTCCATAAAAACCCAAAAGGACAGGGTTGGAGAGGTTCCATGCTGGTGAATACATGAAGGTGCTGGGAGAATGGCGCCCTCAGTGAGCATGGAAGCTCCACACCCCTTCCTACCTACTTTGCCCTATGCACCTCTTCCATCTGGATGTCCATCTGTATCCTTTCTCATATCCTTTAATAAATTAATAAACATAAGTGTTGTACAGAGTTCTGTTAGGCACTCTAACAAATTAATCAAACCCAAGGAGGCGGTCTTTGGAACCTCCAATCTATAGCTGGTTGGTCAGAAACACAGGGCTTGCAACTGGCATCTGAAGTATGTGTGTATGTGGGGGTGGGAGCCGGTTTTGTGCAAATGAGCCCTTAACCTGTGAGATCTGACATTAACTTCAGGTAGATAGCATCAGAATTCAGTTAAATTGTAGGATACCCAGCCACTGTCACAGAGAATTCCTTGGTGTGGGGAAAAGCTTCCATACATTTGCTGACCAAAGTGTCAATGAAGTGTTTAGGTAAAAGTAGAGACACACAGGGAAGAAACACACAGTACGGAAGATGCGAGTTTTTCCCTACATAGTAAGAAAAAGAAACCTGAGTTTTTCCTTTACACAACTATATACTTCTTTCTTTTTTAGGGTTAAGGCTTTTTTTTTTTTTCTCATTAAAAATCAGTACGTGCTCAAAATTCTAATTTTACAAAACTGTAAACGAGAGAAAGTGGCATATCCCCATAATCCCAACTCTCAACAATATGCACTACTAATAGTTTGGAGTATATTCCGCAAGACCATTTTCTCTATTCATCTAATTAATGCACAGGTAGGAGCTGTATAAACGTGTGTATGAGCTTGAATATATTTACACACTTGCAAATGCTTCTACTGGATCAATTTTTAGAAGCAGAATGTTAGATCACTGAGTATATAGTACTTTAAATTTTAATAGCTATTGCCAAATTGCTTTCCAAGGAGATTGTACCAATTTCTACTAGTTGACAAAGAAAATCTGTATAAATACAAATGGCCAAAAGACATATAAACTAAGGAGGCTATACAAATTTCTACTGACATACAATATGTGACTGACAAAATCTGTATAAATACAAATGGTCAAAAGACATAAACCAATATTTAATCCCATTTGGTAAAGAAATCCAAATTAAACAAAAGCAGTATATTTATTTTTATCCATCAACTTGGCAAAAAAAATTAAAGACAAATATTATCTAGCGCAGTGTGGGGACAGGAAAACAAGCTCTCTCACAGACTGTTGGAAGAATAACCTGGCTCAACTTCCGGAGGGCATTTTGGCCATGTATGAACATTTTAATGTATATGGACGATGACCCAGCAATTCCACATTTAGGAATGGTTCCCACATCAGTAAGTATCCAAGTGCCCAACAATTTACTTACAGTAATGCACAGTCTTTAAAAAAAGAGCAAAAATTTGGAAACAGTTTAAATGTCTATCAATCAGAAATTAAGTCAATTACGTTAAAACCATACAATGGAATATTTTGCAGTCATAAAAAAATGATGCTATGATATTCTTTTTAGCACAGAAAAATGTCCATATTAATAAATATATAGAACAATCCCATTTATATATAAATGTATACAAGCCTTAGGAAAAACTTCTTAAAATATATTTCAGAATATCAACAGCTATATCTACATGGAGGAGTAACAGGTAAATTTTAACGATACATTCTGTAATTGTTTTAAATGGTATGCACGTGTTTACTTTTATGTTAAAGAAAACATTAACAACATTTTCCTTTTAAAAGACATGGGAAACCATGAAAAGTTGGGAGTCAGTACACTAAACCAGATAATGTCCTAAATCCTTTCATATTCTGAAATTCTACATGATAATTAAGAAAATATTTACTCCAGGGGCTTTTTTCCTTCATTATTCCCAAAAAGCATATTCAGTACACTTTCCCTAGATCTTGTGAGGAGACTAAAATACAAGAAATGTTCCTTGTTCTTATCATATTTTGACTTTTAAAATAATAATGATGGCTGCATCTTGGGAGTATAGAGAAGGGGTAGAGAGAATAAGGAAATGATAAAACCCCAACCCAGGCAAAGTGTTTCTCAGGTTTCAAAACTCCCAAAGAAAATCAATGCAAATCTCCAAATTTAGGTCTGAGAGCTAAAAATGAGGACTCACTGCTTTTAAAGATTTATGTATATAATATTATCCTACTCACAACAGATCATTATTCCTGGACCGTTACTGCCGGAGACAAGTCAAGGCAAACACAGCAAGTTAGACTTACATTTAACTATCAGAAAGAATATATTATCTAACCTTTATACATCACATTTTTAAAAACATGCTTTAAAAGCATATTAAAACATTCATTTATGGTTTCAACTCTTATACATTACATGTAGTAAAAAAATAATGACAAATAATTACCTCTCCTATGAAGACTACTATAACACAGTCCAACTTCTCTTCAGGATACAGATTATCAATAAGGGAATGAAGGGTTTCTATGAGGTAAGATTTAACTTCTCTCTTCACTGTGGGAATTCCCATTACTATTGACACTGAAACAAAATAATGATAGTAATTATATAAAAAGATTTCACACTGACAGTACAGAATAACACTAGTATTTCAAAAGTGATTATACCCTCTCAAATTGATAGAAATGACTGAGAAATTGAAATACACTACTCAATAATAATTGAGGAATCAAAATATACTACAAAATGTACTACTATACGAACAAAAATAAAGCCAAAAAAGGCATACCCATAACAGTGTAATTCTTTTCCACAGGGCTTATCCATAAAAAAAGTCAAAGTGCTGATAAAAATGAAGACTTTAAACCTCACATTGAAAACAAGTGACTGTAAAGTATGAACAAATATAAGTTATACAACTAAAAGTTAGAAACACTGAAACATCTTAAAAATCAATGTCTCAAAAAAAAAAAAAAATCAATGTCTCAGATATCATGTATATAATGCAATCAGAAGGACACAACATCCCTTCTGTGGTTTTCTTGCCAAAAACACATAACCTCGATCTAACCATGAATATCAGACAAATCCAAATTAGGGGGATAATCCACAAAATAATTGTCCAGGTATTTTCTGAAGTGTCCAGATCAGGGAAGACAAAGAAAGAATAAGGAACTGTGTGAGATGGCCGAAGACGAAGGAGACATGACAAGTAAATGAAATATGGGATCCTGAGTTGGATCCTGGAGCAGAAAAAGAAGAATGAGAAAATGACAAAATCTGAAGAGGATCTAAGGTTAGTTAACACTATAGCATCAATGTCAAGTTCCTGGTTTTGATCATTTGAACATTTAGGGGAACCAGGTGAGGTATATGAAAACACTGTGTGTACTTTCCATGCAACTCTTTCAAGTCTAAATTACAGCCAGTTCTACTGTAATGCTTGTTTTGCAACACAAATTTGTTCCTGAGTGATTAATGTATTAGGCAACTATCTGAGCATAATGTATTTCACATTTGCTTATGTGCAATTTCTCCTCTGGGACAAGCATTCACTAGGTAAACACAGAAAATGGAATCCATTTGAAATGAGTTCAAAAAACTGAACCAAGCAATGTAGAAATACACGAACAGTATACACTCCTAACTTCTACCAGCTGCCTCAGTTAACTGCATGTGAAGAACCACACATATCTACATCTAGTGTTGAAATTTCCACCAGATTGCAGATAACCTGCCTTGCATCACATTTCTCAAAACCTTCCAAGCAGCAATCCTTCTGAAGCCCATTTTAACAGGCAAACCTCAAGTATTATTCAGTACCATATTTACTGTAGTACTTAGTATTTTTGAATCATATAGCGTGTGTAAAACTGTGTTTTTGTCTTTTTGTATGTGTAACTAACAAAGTTTCTGACCACTGTGATACTAACCGACTTTTCTCCTTTTCTCCATTTCTATCAACCGACTAGAACAATTCTGCATAGCATGATAAATTTTAAGAATGCATATATTATGTTATAATAGGACTGTAATCCACCAGAAGTTTTTTTTTAATAACACCCTTTAAAAAGCCTTAATATCCTGTTACATAGCAGTAGAGAAATATTTTGCAAATGTTAAAAACATTTAAGTCTTAATAATGTAAAAATTTATTAGAAATGTGACAAAATACTTAGAATTCACAAAATTCTGAAATTAGAAGGAAGCTTGAAGATCATGGCTCAATGAGTCTACCACCATGATTCTGCAAATACTAAGATCCATAATTTGGCTATATGCAAAAGAATGAAACTGGACCAGTTTGTTACACCATATACAAAAATAAACTCAAAACAGATTAAAAACCTAAATGTGAGACACAGAACCATAAAAATCCTAGAAGAGAGCATTGGCAATAATTTCTCTGACATCGGCCACAGCAACATTTTTCTAGATATGTCTCCAAGGCAAGGGAAACAAAAGCAAAAATAAACTACTGGGAGTACACCAAAATAAAAAGCTTCTGCACAGCAAAGGAAACAATCGATAAAACTAAAAGACAATCTACAGAATGGGAGAAGGTATTTGAAAATGACATATCCGATGAAGGGTTAGTATCCAAAATAACTAAAGAACGAATACAACTTAACAACCAAAAAAACAAATAATCTAATTTAAAAGGGGGCAGAAAGATATTTCTCCAAAGAGGACATACAGATGGCCAACAAGACACATGAAAAGATGCATGACATCACTCATCATCAGAGAAAGGCAAATCAAAACCACAATGAAAACACCTCACATCTGTCAGAATGGTTAAAATCAACAACACAAGAAAACAGGTGTTGATGAGGATGTGGAGAAAAAAGGAATCCTCATGCACTATTGGCAGAAATGCAAACTGGTGCAGCCACTGTAGAAAACAGTATGGAGGTTCCTCAAAAATTAAAAATAGAACTACCCTATGACCCAGTAACTGCACTATTGGGTATTTACCCAAAGAATATGAAAGCACTAATCCAAAAAGATAAAAGCACCCCTATGTTTACTGCAGCATTATTTACGAGAGCCAAGTAATGGAAGCAGCCCAAGTGTCCATGGATTGATGAAAGGAAAAAGAAGATGTGATACACACATACACACCAAATGGAATACCACTCAGCCACAAAAAGAATGCAGTCTTGCCATCTGCAACAACATTGATGGAGTAAGAGTATATAATGTTAAGAGAATAATTAAGTCAGAGAAAGACAAATGCCATAGGATTTCACCCATAGGTGGAATTTAGGAAACAAAACAAAGGAAAAAAAAGACACAAACCAAAAAAACAGAGTCTTAACTATAAAGAACAAAGGTTACCAGAGGGGAGGTGAATGGGAGGATAGGTAAAATAGGTGATGGGGATTAAAGAGTACACTTACCATGATGAGCACTGAGGAATACATAAACTGTCGAATCACTAAATTGTACACCTAAAATGAACACTATATATTAACTATGTTGGAATTAAAATTTAAAAAGCAATAACAACCCTCTCCCCCAAAAGAATACTAAAATCCAAATGGTTTAAAAGATATCCCAAAGGTAGATGCCATACTCCTCTCTTCAATTTTGAGATGAAGAGCTTCCTGGGGCTCAAAAAGAGATCTGTCATATTTAGACTTCTGGGAAGATGGCAGAGCAGTAAAATCTTGAGCTCATAGACACACAGTGCAACCAACTCTGAAAAAGACTCAAGGGCTGGCACAAGAGACTTTATAGTTAACTGTAGAGAAAGCCACATTGAGAACTACAGGAGGGGAGGAAATGAACTTAGGTACCAAACCTCTGTGAGACTAACTGCACACAGGACTGAGAAGGGAGAGGAGCAGAATCCACACCAGGTACCACAGGCATGGAGAACCCACACTGGTAAGGTAAGTCCCCATAACATCTGGCTTTGAAAACCAGTGGGGCTTAACTTCCAGAGTTTTAAAATCAGCAGACCCAAATTCTGGGTACTTTAAAATCAGCTGGCGTAGCTCCAAGAGAGCTGGCAGGGATAACAGGAAACTGAGTCCCCACCCTCAAAGAGTCAGCATAACAAAGAACCCTGCAGAGACACCTCAAGGAAGCAGCAGTTTGGAAAGTGCCTGGGGTATCTCAGATTTTGCACTGAAGGGGCAGGAATCTTTAGGAGACTTCAAGAACAAAAGTGCTAGCAAGCACCATTCTCTTACCCTAGGCTCCCTCCCCTCCCCTCCCCCGCATATAGCCAGATACTTGTGGGAACCACCACAAATACTCTCTACATATCTTGCTAGCAACAAGTGCCCCACCTCTGCATTCCCCTTTGCAGGCACCACATCCAACCTGACCCACTCAGCAGGCATGCCTCCAAAACCACCTCTGCCCCAACACACCATGCAATCCCAGCAGAGACAAGTGCCACTCCAAAGTGACCCCTGCCCTGGGGAGAAGGGAATATAACCATACAAAACCAGTGTGTACCCACAGTCCCAGCAGCCGAACCTTATAGCTGGCAGTGCAGAGACAGTGCCCTGCAGCTCAGTATATCTGCAGTCCCAGAGTACACAGACTAAGGACAGGCATCCAATCTGACTGCTGCCCTACTACAAGTCCCCTTAAAGCACAGGGACCAAACCCTGACCAGTGTACCCCAAACAGGTAAAATGGGCCTTTGCAGCCAACTGGACTGAAGGTAAAGGCAGCTCAGTCCCACAGTAGAACCCACACAGCCACACAGGAAAGACCCCGGAGGTGCCTGATTCCAGTGAACAGAGGACACGGTGCTTCAAGACACCACAAGACCTCTTCTTCATAAGGCCACTACTTTCAAGATCAGGAGATGTAGGTGGTTTCCCTAATACAAAGAAACAAACACAGAGTTAGACAAAATGAGGAGACAGAGCAATATGGCCCAAATGAAAGAACAGGACAAAAATCACAGGAAGAGAGCTAAATGAAATGGTGATAAGCAATATGCCTGATAAAGACTTCAAAGTAATGGTCATAAAGATACTCACTGGACTTGAGAAAGAAGTGGAGGATCTCAGTAAGACCTTCAACAAAGAGATAGAAAATACAAAAAAGAACCAGTCAGAGATGAAAAATTCAGTAACTGAAATTCAAAATTCACTAGAGCAAATTGATACCAGAATAGAGGAGGCAGAACAACTAAGCAGTGATGTGGAAAACAGAGTAATGGAAAGCAACCAAGCTGAAGAGCAAAAAGTAAAAAGAATAAAAACTGAGAATAGGTTCAGGAAACTCAACATCATCATCAAGCATAGTAACATTCACATTATAGGGATCCCAGAAGACAGAAAGCAACAGAAAATTTATTTGAAGAAATTATTGCTGAAAATTTCCCTACTGCAGGGAAGGAAAAGATATCTAGACTCAAGAAGCACAGAGAGCCCCCAACAAAATTTACCCAAGGAAGTCCACAGCAAGACACGTAACAATTAAAGTGACAAAAACAAGTGATGAAGAAAAAATTTTAAAAACAGCAAGAGAAAAGAAAAATTGTATACAAGGGGAACCACATAAGGCTATCAGTTGATTCTCAAACAGAAACTCTGCAGGCCAGAATGGAG